TCTGAAAATGGAAATCCACTTGAAGATGAAAAGAAGATCATCACTGAGAATCCTGATGAGGAAGGATCAACCCATGACAATCCTCTTCCTGTCGAAAACGAAGCGTTTAAAGAATCGAAAACCGAAAAAGGGAGCCGAAGCCCATCCAAGCCCGAAACCGTTTTTTCTCCAACTGTTTCGAAGACCAAAAACAGTAAACAGGCCAAGAATCAATCTTCCTCGAAAGTATCGGTTGTTTTTGGCCGGAGCACGAAAAAACCGAGCCTGGCTCAGAGCCTATCATTTCCAAGCCTGGGCAGCCGCCACTCAGATGTGATGAAAAGAAGCATCGAGGTTTACCCTTCAAAATCGGACATCAGGCAATCTCAGAAAAACAGTTCGAAAATCGCGTCACGAGAGAGTTCGAGCCCGAGAATAGGTTCGGTTGTCCGTGGCCCATTTCCTGGGGTCAGTTCATCTACAGGAAAGGCAAATGGCAGGCGTGCAACTATATCTTCTATGCCGAGCCTTAAACAATCCTCGGTAAAAAAAGTAAAATTTCACTTTCTTGATCTCCTTTAGTTTTACTTTTGTACCTCTGACATTTTTACTTGTGTTTGTTTTGTGTGTTTTTGAGTTCAGTCGGGAAAACGTGAATCTGGTAATGGAATCGGCACCGGCCCTGAAACTGATTTGTATGGAATCGACCCAGAGTGTTTGTTTCTTTCCTAAAAATATGATTAGCCTAAATATAAGGAGTATTTGAAAATCTATTTCTTTTAAGGTTTTGTTGCTTGTGGGATGTGTGATTTTTTGACAATTTAATCACAAATGCAGAGTGGTGGCGAAAGATTCTGAGCCGAGCAACAGCTTGTTATCTGTTAAGGATGAGGATGCCCGATCGACTACTTCCTCGTACTAATCAATCGTGTTAAACACATTTTTTTTTTTTTCAATTTTGATTTTATGTTGTAGAGAAATCTTAACAAATATTGTATTTTAATTTGAAATCTCACTCACAGGACACAACAGAGGGTTAATGTTTCGACATTCTCCTTCAGGCTGGAGGAACGTGCTGAAAAGCGAAAAGAGGTACACAAATATCGTCTAAATATGAACGAATTATGTACTATTCTTGAATAAAATGTATCACTCAATGACATTATGTATTTTGCATGTAAGTTCTTTTCGAAGATAGAACAGAAGGTACACGCCAAGGAAGTCGAGAAGAATAACATACAAGCAAAATCGAAGGTGCTTGGTATTTTTCACTCACATCACCACTAATATTTGCTCGAGTTTGCCAAATATCATTATTTTCGTATTTATTTGAATTTTTTATAATAGGAAAATCAAGAGGAGGAGATAAAGCAACTTAGGAAGAGCTTGACATTCAAAGCTACACCCTTGCCAAGCTTCTACAAAGAACCACCTCCAAAAGTTGAGCTAAAGAAGGTAAAGCCCGTTTGATTGTTAACACAAACCTACATTTAACTAGTGAATCGACATAAACCGTATGAAATTATTATAGATACCAACCACACGGCCGATTTCTCCCAAGCTCGGGAGGAACAAAAGCAATCCCGTTGATAACATCGTGCCATGTGTCAGCACACGAGTGAGTGATGACAGTAACTGCAAATCACCAAAGACTCCTCGCGCAAATTCTGCTGCCTTAAAGAAACCTGTCAAGAGCTCCTTATCCAAATCCCATGCTGGATCGAAAACCGGGGCCCAAGAGAAGCAAACTCCCGTGCACGGAAAATTTGAAGACCGGCCCATTTGCCAACCTGAGTTTGTGGAGAAGAAAATCGAAAATGGGGTCGAAGAAAGTTCGTCTTTTTGTGATGGGTCGAATCTTGCTTCAAATGCGATGGCTGCCGGAGTTTCTGTTGAAGGTTGAATTATGATCATCACTTGCTTGATTCTAAAGAAAAAAAAAAATTATTGTTTCTCTCTCTGTTTGTGTTTCTATGTATAGTGTTGTTGTATTTCTGGGTTTATACATATATGTTGTCTGAATTGTTTGAAGGATGATCGAGGGTTAAGTACAGTACCTTTTGCTTATATTGGTTCTTATGATTTTCGTTGTTTTCTGGAGATTATATTGGAATCCAAAAATTGATTTAATGGGGAGGAAAAGTTATTTTAGTGAAAAATAACGAATTTTTTAAGGTATGAAGTTAATATAATTAAAAAAATAGTAAAATAATGAATGTAAATGATTGCTAGTTAAAATTATACTCCCAATTAATTTTATTGAAAAATTTGCAGTGATGATAAGTTTTTAATTTTTAATTACAATGATAAACTTGAGGAGAAAAATATGGATTTAGATGAACGGCTAATTTTTTAGAAAAAAGTGTCCAATTGTGAAAAAAAATATTAATAAAATCCAATCACAGGCTTCATAGTATCTCTTTTAAATAGACAAACAAACAAAAAATGAAGACATAATAAACATTTGACATCAATTTTTGAGCAGTCAGTGTCATGTTCTTCTCATTGTAGGCCAAAATATCAGGGGCTAGTTTAAATATGTATCTGGTTGAATTTCTTAATTCGGTAGTTTTTTCTAATAAATAATATTAAATTATCCAGCCCTTTATTCAGAAATATTTGGCTGAAACTGCAAAATACGTAGATTTTGAGGTCTGACCTAATTTCAGGGAAAAAATAAAACTAATTTTCGAAATTATTACAGAAGCAAATAGCTGAAAATGGGTACATCATGTATGTAGCTCACTTCATACAATCTGGCAGAAACTTTATTCTATTAGGACTGAAAACAATAAAAAATAAATGCCAGACCTTGAATAGCAAATTATTCTAAAATAGCCATGTTGTTGTGTGGCTGTTTGGCCCAGCCCCATCCAACCATGTCTGGTGCACATGGACCCAAGTCAAACCTTCTGCAACACTCACACCCTTGGCCACACAAAACACGAAAATATCATTACAAATGCTGATGTAAGTCGAACTTAATAGATGATAGAGTTGATTTTTTTTTTTTTTTCATTACAAAACACGAAAATATCATTATAAAACACGACATTGCATTTCGAAACAGGTTAATGATTTGTTTTTTTTTTCGGAGAGTATAACGTTTTGTTGCGCAATACGATGCATTTTTCGTTAAATTTGGAAATTATGTAGTTTTACAGTACAAGCGAATACTTTTGTTGAAAGAAAAAAACCAAAGTGGCAATGGGGTGATTTTTTGTGTACCTTTGAGCTTAATAAAACAGTAGTCAGACAACAATGCCGTTCTTCACCTGGAGAACAAAGTTGAAATGGTGTACTTTATCAATCTCAAAGAAAGGAAATCACTCTAACATTTACGTCAATCCACACACAGGTCATAAAGCCTCACCAGATTGTTCCCATTTCTTGAATCTCACGAGCCACGAATCCGAACCAATCTTGGCAGGCAAAACCTGATCCACCCAAACCCGAAACTGCTTCCCTTGTTTATCTCCATAGCATGTTTTCAGCGAGTTTACAGCTTCGTGAAGTGGTTTCTCTATTCCAGATGGGTGAACAAAAGTGCCAGATTCAGACTGCAAGAGGGATAAATAGAAAGTGAAACATATATGGGCTGCAAAATATAATTCAAGCAAGCAGTCGAAAAAAATTACTCTTTCGTTTTTCATTTTAACAATTCTTAATTGCGCTTTGCTCTTGTATGTTTTGCACTTTGTTCACTGATTTTTGAAAAGCATACCAGCCAGAAGATGACATATGTCATCTTATGATAAGTCCAACTCAGTTCCCAGAGGTTTAAAGTGCAGATTGTTAAAAATTAAGTATGCAAAATGGATTTTCCAAAGTTCAATAGGAAATATGCCTTCAGGTCAATGGCGTGTAGGTAAATAGATAGCAGCCAAATTTACAAGAACAAAAAATCCACATATAACAAAGATGAACAGAACAACAACAAAACGCCAAATCACGTACATAAAAGTCGAAACTGTAAGAAAATCAACAGTTCAACCTCAACTTACGCAGACAGATTTCAGGCTGGCAAGATAAACCTCAGAATTCTCAGCCTCAGCACGTCTCCACCTCTCGAAAAACAAATAAAGCTTCACCACTTCGTAAGCCGGGTCAAAATTCTCCATCTTGGAATCAGATAAGTCCATGACATCTCTAGGGGACGTGCTTGGGCCCAGGTTAAATTGACCGATGGCCTGTATAATACCAGCTGCACATCTCTCGGTTGCATGAATTACTTTAGGATTATTTTCCGCATTTGCAGCATGCCACTGTAATAATTCTTCCTGTGCATTGCTGACCTGTCAAAATGTTTAAAAAAAATGTTTGCTTAGAAACTCCATTCCATTAAGGCATTAAGTAGTTGAATTCCATCAATAAACGAGAAAATGGGAAAATAATATTGTTGGGATACTAACCATAACACCATATACATCTGGAATACTGAACAGTTCAGCGTCATTTCCCGAGTCGCCACAAACGAGGGTGTTAATCGGTAATTTACCAGCGTTCTTGAATTTTTTATGCAAATAGGCAAGTGCTTGCCCTTTGCCGGCACCTTGTGGCAAGATGTCCAGGTCCATCCCTCCACTGTATATTATTTTCACATCCAACTGCAAATTTCTTATATTGATTAGTGGCTAAAAAGCT